TAGCGATCAGAGCAGTGCCTATCTTAAAAGGCCTGGATGGTTGTACCAAGTGGCTGTTCCTTTATTTTTCTGCATGATAACGAAGTCCCTTTCCCCAGGATTTAATGAAAAAAAACTCCATATTTACAAGAGCGCGCCAAAATTTTGTGCGCTGCTCAACGGTCCCGGCACGAGCAGCTTAAGGGTTGGAGCACACTATGCAGATGGAAATAATTATTTAGGAGGGGAAAGAAGTCCTGCACATATGGAGCAATATTTCATTCGAACGCAAGCCTCCCACCACCAACACATTCCAGACTCCTGGAGTAATCGACTTGGGGGAATATGTTTTGAGCTACATCAGCTTTTGTGCTTCTTTCTCCAAATTTCTTTGCAATCACAGAACATACTCCCCTAACAAGCTGACCTAATGGGAAAGGATCATCTTGCCAAACAGCAACAAGTACCAGAAATGGCTATAAACAACTGAATCCAGAATCTGCTTACAGATCTAATTTTTCAAGCAACAGGCCTAGTTTCAGACAAGCTTTTCACTACGCAACACACCTGGAAGATCTTATCCCCCTAAATAACAGTGTTGCTCTCAATGACTTCTATGTAAACTCTACAGTATAAGATAAGGAATAAACCATACAGGCAATGCTTGATATTTAGATAGCTTTCCTCAGTAATCATTTTCTTGCTTTCATTAAAGATCCTATTGCCAAACAGAATGTATGCTCTTGTCTGACAGTGATTAACTTGAGGCTAATTTAGTACTTAATAAGTCAAATACTTTATGAACTCAAAAACATGTTTCTTAGAAAGAAATGCCAACAAAACAGAAGTGAATACTATTGATAGATTAGAAATATCTAATTAAGGGCACCCTTTCAAGTCAGCTGCATAAAGACTATCTCATGTATCATGTTGCAGAACAAAAAATAACTCCAGCAGGTCTCAATTAAGAAACCAGACCAGAGGGATCTCACATTTGCAGCAGGAAGGCTCATGCATATTACAGCTAAGACATTTTTATGACTCCAACTGAAAGCACTTAAACTTCTGAGAACAAAAACACATGGGCTATAGCACCCCCCCCCCAAATAGCAAGAGGGTTTTTTTTTTTTTTTCCTCCTTCTCCTGAATTGTGTGCCCCAAAAATCAGAGAGAGCTAAAATACACTGTGTACTTGGTCATGCTTTCTAGCCTTCAGGTTTTGAAGGAATGATACTATGAGCTGGCAAATAACATTTAAGGTTTTTTTTCCCCTTTTACAGCGGCAAATAAATAAATAAATAAACAAACAAACCTTCTTGCTCAACCCAAGAGCTGCTGGTGCTGCGCCCTCTTGGGGCACGAGATGCTATGAGCCAAGTCTTGCACGTTATTTTTCTGCATCCTGC